TGAGAAACATCATCTATACGTTATAAAGTACAGTGAAATTAGAAATTTGAATAGTTTAAAACTGTACTGACTCCACAATGCTCATATTACGTGTCACATGATGGGCAGGGTTATTATCATTAACCAAAACTAAAACTAAAAAAAAAAAAACTTACTTGAAAAAATAAACATTGACTGAAATGAAATAAAATTTATCATTTTCAATTTATTTTTATTTTTTTAATTAATAATTGTTAATTATTAATCCACTATATGGTGATGCTTCCCCCAATATTCATATCAGTGGTTAACAAATATGGGTTTTTCAATGGCCAATTCATGAAATATTACCCCAATCTTTGCATTAATAATTATTCATCATTGAAAATTTAAATATAATATAAAAATATAACATAAAATCTAATTCAAAATATTACAAAATACTAGAATAGTATAAAAATCTAAAAACTATAACAGTATATCAATTATAATAAAATAACTAATGATGAGCATGAACTTAAATCATGAAGTCATTAAATAAAGCTTCTATAATATTGCAGCACACTAACCAACCACTTGAGCAACTTAAAATGGTTTCAAATGTCTTCAAAGGCAATTGATTTAAATTCTATAAAGCAATTGAATAAATTCTTGGAAAAAAAAAATGTAAAAATACATTTTACCCTTTATTTTAGGTGGTGAGATTCTCCAATGACTTTAAAGGAGGTTAGTGCATATCAGTAGCTCTGTCATTCCTAATTTGACTTTTCAGCCTTCATCATAAACTGTAACTGAAATGATTTGCATATTGTTGGGTATGTGCATTATAGCTGTACAGTTTATGTAACCGGGTAATATTTTGAACATTACCAATCATGCATTATGTGATTGCCCTGTTGAATCGATTAACCACAACACGCCCTTGCACCCAGAATCAGCTGACTGTCCCGTTGCTGACCTCCATCGTGGTGGCAGTGCTCGGCTCGCTCCAGATAGGATACCACACAGGCAACATCAATGCCCCTGCCTGAGTGAGTAGAGTTGACTTTGGGGGCCAGCCGCTGGTTAGCATGGTTTCTCAGTTTACGTACAAACTTCTCAGGGCCCTCATAAAACACTGAATAAACTTTACCAAGTCAGAGAATATTTCTCTTCAGCCAGCGCTGGATTTGGAAGGCTTCATATTTGCGCACAGGTAGCTATGATGTCTAGCTTGTGTTGATTTATTGTCTGTGTGTGGATATAGTCCAGTTCCCTCCGGTCGGTTTTTCATTATGAAAACATTGAGGCTGGTCTCAAGATATTAGTCATGTCTTTCAAGCAAGTGAAATGCACTTTCAGAGTAAAGTATTAAAATTACAGGCTGCTCTGAGTTTCTGTCCATATTAGCATTACGTATGTTGTTTGTTTGTTGATGTATTATGTAGTGTCTGAAATTAAAGTACTGACTCATTTAATCATTACTCAGACTCATTAAAAATTAAGATGCAATTCATATTTTTTAACTCAAATGGCTGTATTTAATGTTTATGCACATGAGTTTTTCTAAAACAAGGATGATTGTGGGAGCTTGCTATGTATTGCATATAGTTATTATCATGAAACTGCATGGGTGAGCATGTAGCAAAGTGTGGTATAGGTTTAATATACTTTTGGTTTTCTCCATTGAGGTCATTGAGGAGTTCGACATGGAGATCCAGATACAACACGACATGGAGATCCAGACACAATCAGTCAATACCAGACCACAGTCTCACGTTCCTGTGGTCCCTCTCTGTTAGCATTAAGGACTTTGGAGCACTGCTTGGTTTACTAGGGGTGAAAGGTCTTGCTGACACCTTCGGGAGGTGAGAAAATGTTTTGTTTCACAAATGCCTGAACCACTTACATTATATATATATATATATATAATCACGAGATCACACTAACATATAATGTGATTGAGCAATTAGTAGCATATTTGGCGTGCTGTCCAGAGGGAGGGCTCCGAGCTCGGTTCAAAGCCCGAACCCAGAGAACTCCCCAAAAGAAGCTAATGGCATGAGACAGCAGCCGGAGAAAAAATTGTAAGTCGCCCCCAAAAATATGCATGCCGTGAAGAAAAGAAGGGTGCGCGAGGAGGCGGCAGGGCGACTGGGAGGGGTCGTGCGGTGCTTGACCGGGAGCTGCGACTCTCCGCGTCGGATGGCAAGCCCTACCTGTCGCCGAATGAGGAGCACGATGGAAGGCCAGGTGAGGGACTCTCACTGCGTCCGAAGGGAGCTGCGGCTCTGCTACACCGGAAGGGAGAGTCCCTCTTGCAGATGAATACGTGACGTGGTTTAAAGCGTCAGATAGAAGGCTCTCACTACGACTGAAGGGAGCTGCGGCTCTGCTGCACTGGAAGGGAGAGCCCTGTCCGATGTGGAAAAAGCAAATGGGGCTCAAAACGACAGATGGAGGGCTCCCGCTGCGACCGAAGGGAGCTCCAGACACTCCAGCACTCTACTGCACCGGAAGGGAGAGCCCTGTCCAATGCTAAGCCATTATGGAAAAAGCAAATGGGGCTCAAAACGACAGATGGAGGGCTCCCGCTGCGACCGAAGGGAGCTCCAGACACTCCAGCACTCTACTGCACCGGAAGGGAGAGCCCTGTCCAATGCTGAATAAGCCATTAGGCTCGAAACGACGGATGGAGGTACTGCGGCGGTAGTATCAAATTAAGCAGGCACTGCAGCGGCAGAATGAATTGAGCAGAGCGCTGCGACGGCAGTATCAAATGAGCGGGGCACTGCGGCAGCAGAATCAAATGAGCGGGGCACTGCGGCGGCAGCATCAAATTAAGAGGGGCACTGCGGCTACGAGGATGTCGGGGACGTTGGAAGTCTCGCCGGTGGAAGCGAGGTTAAGCCTCGGCGTTGTGGAAAGCGTGTGGCTGGTCGAGCAGAGCGGCGGCCGCGTTGAAGCATGGTGCTCGGCGGTGGTGACTGGCGGAAAAGGAGTGAGCCTAGGGCCGGCAGATTGCGACGGAGGATATGAAAGATCCCCAGTAGAGGTCTCATCGTAGTACGGAAAAACTTGAGTCTGTGATATAATAGCTAAAGGAGCAAAACCGAATGCTGGAAAACTGTCGTGGAACTGAGGTAAGTTGGCTGTATATATATACACATATTGTGCTTGTTAAGGTGATTAGCTGACGAGCTCCACCTGGGCCAGACTGATTGATTATCT